TGCCCTGGTGGTCCCCCTTTTTTAAGAAGGGGGACCGCACAGACTGTAACAACTACAGGGGCATTTCACTCCTCAGTGTGTCGGGAAAGGTCCTGGCAAGGATTATTCAACATCGCCTTGCCAGGCACGCTGAGGAGAGGCTTGCGGAGCCCCAGTGCAGTTTCAGGAAAGGGCGGTCCTGCACAGATGCCATATTTTCTGTCCATCTGCTACAGCAGAGGTGTAGGGAATTCCAGCAAGATCTACATCTCTGCTTTATTGACCTGGTCAAGGCCTATGATACCATCAATAGGCCTGGGCTCTGGGTTGTTCTTCGTGCTTTTGGAGTACCTGACCCTCTGCTCACGACCATTAAGGACCTTCATGATGGTGAGCGGGCCCGGGTAAAACTACGTGGCCGGGAGTCTGAGCCTTTCCCTGTACACCTTGGGGTGCGACAGGGATGTCCTCTGGCTCCCACATTATTTAACATCTATTTCGACCACGTAGTTCGTGAAGCCTTCAATAGCTGTACCGGGGGAATCTACATATGGTACAGATATAATGGGAGGCTGATCGATGCCCGGGTGCGGTCAAGGGATGGCTCCCTATTGCTCAACCACGTTATGTATGCTGATGATTTGGTAATAGCTGCTCATTCAGAGGAGGAGTTGGAGACGCTGCTGCTGAGACTGGAGCGTGCCACTAAGAGATGGGGCCCTTACCATCAGCCCCACCAAAACTAAGCACCTGCCTGGGTATTTTGTACCATCGGACACTCCACCCCCATAACTCCCAATCGGTGATGGGGCAGTTGTGGAGAGAGTGGAGAGTTTCCCATACCTGGGAAGTGTGCTTATGACCGGCTCCAGTTTAACAGCAGAGGTCTCACTCCGAATCAGTGGAGCGGCAATATCTTTTCATCGGTTGCGTAACGCTGTGTGGAAGCTACCTGGTCTGTCGCTCCGCACTAAGCTTCAGATCTTCTCGGCCACGGTCATTCCCTCCCTTCTCTACGCTTGCGAAACGTGGACCCCCCTAATGGAACATCTTCGCCGGTTAGAAACATTTAGGCTGGCCTGCCTACGATCCATCCTGGGTTTAACCAGACTGGATTGTGTGAGAAGCTCACAAATCCTTGAAAGATCTGGGCAAGGTCCCATCGGTGAGCTCCTCCGGCAGGCAAGGCTGCGATGGCTGGGTCATGTAGCCCGCATGCCCAGCCACCGCATGCCGAAACAGCTTTGTTCGGCCGGATCGAGGGGGCTAAGCGGGCGCGGCACGGGCTAGAGAAGAGATGGAGTGATGTGGTACAGGAGGACGTGGAGCTGAGTGGACTTGCCGATGACTGGTACCAGCGGTGTCAAGATCGGCCTCTGTGGAGGAGGCTCGTTAAAGACGCTACTGGACAGTTGGAGGTAGTCGCCCTCCAACAACAACGGAGGGCGGAGGAGCGACGCTCACAACAACGAGCGGAGCGCCGGGTGGCTAAAGCACAGCAGGTTGGCACAGTAGGGGGCACAGGTGGTGCATCAGCCAGTCATCTCAGTCAGTCGACCCGTGGCACCTGGGTCTGCCCAGTGACCTCCTGCCAGCGGGCGTTCGACACTTCACGTGGCCTCACGGTGCACATAGCCTGGCACAAGCGTCGTGGTGACGTCACCGCCACTTAGTGGCGAATGGCGGTTGTTGTTGTTGTTGTGTGTGCTCCAGTGTGTGTGTGTGTGTGCTCCAGTGTGTGTGTGCTCCAGTGTGTGTGTGTGTGTTCTGCAGTGTGTGTGTGTGCTCCAGTGTGTGTGTGTGCTCCAGTGTGTGTGTGTGTGTGCTCCAGTGTGTGTGTGTGTGTTCTCACACACACACACACTGTTGTGGGGAGCGATAGTGTGGCGGTTAGCGCGCTGCGCTATGAACCTGGCGACCCAGGTTCGATTCCCGCTCACGGCCAACACCAGTGACGATTATCTGAACCGGTCCCGGGCCTCCCCTAGGTCGACTCAGCCTCAAATGAGTACCTGGTGCGGTGTGTAAACATTGCCACTAGCGAGACAAAGGCGGTCGGGCGTGGTGCTGGCCACCCACTCCCTCGTGTACCGTTCCGGCCTTCATAGGTGCTCGCTAACAGCACTTGCTCCTACAGTCTGTTAAGGCTATATGGGGGATCTTTGTCTTTGTGTGTGTGTTCTCCAGTGCGCGTGTCGCTTTCTCTAGTCGGTATGTAACTGAGAGCATGCGTCATTTATCGAACCCATATGCTCATTGTAATACTACAAACAACACGTATGTATGCATGCGTGTTGAACTTCTTTTCGCACCGTACGTAGCCAACCGTGCTAATCGGAGGTGCGTTTAGAAATATGCATGGAGATTATTTGGATAATTTTGCAGCTATAAATGTCCAAATGATGAGACACGTTGTTGTTGAGTTCGTGGCCAAGTCGCTCCTGAATAATAAGTTTAATGCCTTCGGTGGGCTTTGCCTGGTAGCATTGGGATGGTTTAGTGTTGTATTTGTTTGCGTTTGGGTGATTGGTTTACATTCATAGTACTTTGCATTTCTAACGTGTCTACGTATTGTGTTTGTTGTTGTGCGCCGACTGGACATCTGTTAAACAAAGAGCTTCATAGCTCATCGGATTTCTCCTGCAGTATCAATACATATTTTGATTCTGAAGACAGGAGGGAATATTACACACGTGGGATGATGATGATGATGATGAATAATCCTTTACAATTACGCACGTTTACCCCAAGTTATCTTCACCGAGTCTCAAGACTCTTTGTTCAGGAGGTTTCTGCCAAGTTTGCTTGCAGCAGCGACCCATGCTGCCGCTGCTGTATGTGTCTGTGTGTTACCCAGATGAGTGATTCGCAGGTGATATTTTCAGCACTTGGGATGCCGTTTTGCCCAATGACAGCGCTGGGATTTCACTTGTTTAGGCGATGACGCGGAGGAAAAACCCACGCGCACACGAAGCGGTAGAGCGTACAAACTCCACAGCAGTGAGGCGACCGAGTCGGGAATCTAACCCAGGCCCTTCTAGCTGCGAGGCCCGAGTGCCACCACTGCGACCGACGGACGAGACCGGCGATGGAATTGCAGCCCAAGGAGGCGGGAACGCGTCCAGCGGGAGCAGCACCGCCAAAGGATGTAGCGACGATGTCGGCTCAGTGCGATGGTGATGGTTCAGTGTTGTATTTGTACGTGTTCTAGATTTGAAGCTTTCGTGACTGCGAGGATTCATACTCTTTGGTTTTTTTCGGTAAAGTGACACGTAGGTAAAATAAAATAAATGAAAACAACTAAATTAAATCACGACGTTTCGGAGGCAACGCAAGCTTCCGTCTTCAGGTGGAACAGTCACAGCAGAATTAGCTGTGTCAAGTGAACAGCTCTGGGACACACGAGATTATATACAGGTTAAGGGGGGGGGGGGAGCCAGGGAGGGACGTGGGTGGGGAGGGGGGGGGCTAAGTTAAGCCACCTTTTGTTAATCTGCATGGGGTTCTGGTGGAGGCGGTGGTGTACTTGCACGTAAAACCACCTTTTGTTATGCTGCAGGGGGTTCGGGGGGAGGGTGATGACGTGCTGCACGAGAGCGAGTACAATCCTGGTAGAAACGGAAATGGCTGTACAATTATAAGCCAGCTAAAGTTTGACTTGGTTGATGACATCTTTCCAAAAGTTGCCCAATTTAAAACCATCCTCTCGGTTGAGGTTGTGTCTATGTTTGTATATCTGGATGGCTTCATGGACAAATCTGTGGTAATAACCGGGAGGTTTGCAGAGTACTTTGGTATCGGAGAAGACAATCTCATGAGAACCCGCTGTGATGAAACAATGATCAGCCACGGCCGAATAATTCGTTCTGCCGTGTTTCACATCTGATTTGTGCTCGCGAATTCGGTCAGAAATATGTCGTTTCGTCTCCCCGATATAGCAGTCACCACAGGTACAACTCAATTTGTATACACCGGGGTACTGTAAGTCAGGAATGACATCCTTTACGGATGGGATCAGATCACGGATTTTGTGTACTGTATTGAACCGGACCTGGATCTTATGTTTGTTTAGAATTTTGGAAATCTTTAGTCAAAGTACTATGCAAACCTCCCGGTTATTACCACAGATTTGTCCATGAAGCCATCTAGATTTACAAACATAGACACAACTTCAACCGAGAGGACGGTTTTAAATTGAGCAACTTTTGGAAATATGTCATCAACCAAGTCAAACTTTAGCTGGCTTATAATTATACAGCCATTGCCGTTTCTACCAGGATTGTACTCGCTCTCGTGCAGCGCGCCATCACCCTCCCCCCGAACCCCCTGCAGCATAACAAAAGGTGGTTTTACGTGCAAGTACACCACCGCCTCCACCAGAACCCCCTGCAGAATAACAAAAGGTGGTTTAACGTGCGAGTACACCACCGCCTCCACCAGAACCCCCTGCAGATTAACAAGGTGGCTTAACTTAGCCCCCCTCCCCACCCACGTCCCTCCCTGGCTCCTCCCCCCCCCTTAACCTGTATATAATCTCGTGTGTCCCAGAGCTGTTCACTTGACACAGCTAATTCTGCTGTGACTGTTCCACCTGAAGACGGAAGCTTGTGTTGCCTCCGAAACGTCGTGATTTAATTTAGTTGTTTTCATTTATTTTATTTTACCTACGTTATTTTACCTACGTGACTTTACCGTAAAAAAACACAGAGTATTTGTACGTGTGTTGGGCTATCTGTTTACCTTTCTTGTACTTATCGTGTGTTTGTCGTCGTTGTTGTTGTAGCATTCTTACCCCGTGCCCCTACTGGACATCTGTTAACAAAGAGCTTTATAGCCCATAGGATCTCCCCCAGTCATAAATAAATCCGATTCTGCGCGCAGTCAGCGAGGGAGTTGGATGGCGGCGGTGTCTCTGGGCCGTGAGTGACGGGACGGCGAGGAGCAGGTACCCGGCTTTCATCCAGCGGCGGATAGACCACGGCCGACGGTTTCGGTTTCGCGTGAAACGGGCGCAAGCTTACCTTGCAGGCGCAGTCCGAAGCGCTGGAGGAATTCGTCCGTGTCTGCTGCAAGGGAGAGGAGAGGGGGCATGTTTGCCGGCAGCGCGCGGACACTGTGAGACGGCACCACGCGCGCCACGTGTCGATCAGACGCCCGAAGGCGTCGGGTCTCCGAAGCTAAGCGGCCTCAAGGCTGGATGCTGCTCGGATGGGCGAGCAACTTGAGTCTTTGAAGCCCGTAGGGTCCCGGGGGGCGTACGTGGCGGGCAGCACATGCGACTAAACTCCTCCGTTAAACAAAACAAAAAAAAACCACATCACCTGCGTCTATGCTGCGCGCCTCCAGCAAATCGCGAGGAACAGCCGCGTGGTGAAGTGTGGCTAAATATACCTCCGCGACCCGCACGGCTCTCATCCAGCGGTGGATTGACGAGCGCTGCGACATCGCAACGCGGAGCGATGCCAATCTCCGTTTGGCCGTAGGTGGACATTTCCACAATGAAGTCACGTATGTAGAAATACAATAAAATTATATTAAAATAAAAAAAAACAATCACGACGTTTCGATCACAACGCAAGCGATCTTCATCGTCGCGATCGCAAAGTCGTGATTGTTTTTTTTTGTTTTAATATAATTTTATTGTATTTCTACACACGTGACTTTTCCGAAAGAAAAAAAACAACAACAATGAGTAATTTTACGCGGTCACCAAAGCTTCAATACTTTATTATTTCCGCAATTCCTTTGACGGTGTCCGATCTGCTTGGGCAATGTGCGCACGGACTGCGATGCAGTACAGCGTGCCTCGATGTTTCGCCGCGATGTGCCCAGCGTGATACGTTCAGACGGGACACACAAGAAGCGCCCTTTTGCAAGCGAGAGGTACGAGCGGCGTGTCACCTCTTGCCGGTGTGCCGGCTCAGGATCTTTGTCCGCCGCCACCAAGCGAGTTACCTGAGCGAGTCGCCTCGACGTCGTCAGGCTCAGGGCGATTCCTCGGCTCCATCTACCACGGTGTCTTTCGCCGACGCTCAGTTTCTCAATGCGAGTACCGCTGCTGCAGTGATGATGATGATGATCATGCAGCGATGATGATGATGCAGCGATGATGATCATGTAACGATGATGATGATCATGCAGCGATGATGATGATCATGCAGCGATGATGATGATGATCATGCAGCGATGATGATTATGATGATGATGCAGCGATGATGATGAAGCGATGACGATCATGCAGCGATAAAGATCATGCAGCGATGATGATGATGAAGCGATGATGAAGATGATGATTGTTACAGGGCGCGTGGTTGACGCTCGCTGCTCGAGACGCTGCCGGTCGGAGCGACTGATACTGAACTCGAAGTCCCTTTGAATGCGGTGACTCAGAGGCACGGTGGGGGGGGGGCGCTGAGGCAGACACGGGGGGCGCGCTCAGAGACGTCTATACACGAAGTAACTTTGACGGCAGCGTGCCATATTCCCCAGGGCAGTGTGGCACACACGCGCACACACACGCACACACACGCAGACACGCACGCACACACACGCACGCACACACACGCGCGCACACACACGCAGACACACGCAGACACACGCACACACACACGCACACACGCACACACACACGCGCACACACACGCAGACACACACGCACACACGCACACACACACGCAGACACACACGGACACTCACACCACAATGATGCCCGTACAGCCATGACAGCCTGTTGTGGCAGGTGCTGTCAACGAACACCTATGAACAAGGGGGTGGGTGGCCAGCACCCCGCCCGGCCGCCTTTGTCTCCCGAGTGGCGATGTTTTACACGCCGCACCAGGTGCTCATCTATGGCTGAGTCGACCTAGCGGTTACCGGTTCAAATAATCGTCACTGGCGGTGTTGGCGTAGCGCTCACCACTGCACGACCGCTCCCCACACACAAACGCACACGCACGCACGCGCACATACACACGAATACAAAGATCCCCCGTATAGCCTTCAACAGACTGTAGGGGCAAGTGCTGTAGCGAGCACCTACACAATTACACACACGCACACAATCACACGCAATCACACACGCGCAATCACACAATCACACACGCAATCACACACGCGCAATCACACGCACACAATTACACACACGAAATCACACAAGTACAATCACACAATCACTCGCGCAATCACACACGCACAATTACACACACGACATCACACAACCACACACGCAATCACACATGCACAATCACACGCAATCACCTACGCGCAATCACACACACGCAATCACACAAGTACAATCACACAAGTACAATCACACACACGCAATCACACACACGCAATCACACAAGTACAATCACATACGCGCAATCACACACACGCAATCACACAAGTACAATCACATAAGTACAATCACATACGCGCAATCACACACGCAATCACACAAGTACAATCTCACACACACGCAATCACACACACGCAATAACAAGTACAATCACACGCAATCACACAAGAACAATCACACACACGCAATCACACACACGCAATCACACGAGTACAATCACACACAATCACACACACGCGCAATCACACACACGCAATAACACAAGTACAATCACACACGCAATCACACGAGTACAATCACACACACGCAATCACACGAGTACAATCACACACACACGCAATCACACACACGCAATCACACAATCACACACACACACAATCACACGAGTACAATCACACACACGCAATCACACGAGTACAATCACACACAATCACACACGCGCGCACGACATCCCTGCACGGGGGGTCACCATGGGAACTGATCAATTAGCATCATGATCACGTGACCGCGGGGGTGGCAGAGCGAGCTGCCGCACGTGGAGACAGAATTAGAAAAGAAAACCACCTCACACTCTCACACCTCACACTCTCACACCTCACTCCCTCACCCCTCACACCCTCACCCCTCACACCCTCACCCCTCACACTCTCACCCCTCACACCCTCACATCCTCACTCCCTCACACCCTCACTCCCTCACATCCTCACCCTCACTCCCTCACATCCTCACCCTCACACCCTCACTCACTCCTCACACCCTCACACTCTCACCCCTCACACCCTCACATCCTCACTCCCTCACACTCTCACCCCTCACACTCACCCCTCACACTCACCCCTCACTCCCTCACACCCTCACTCCCTCACACCCTCACCCCTCACACTCTCACATCCTCACCCCTCACTCCCTCACTCCCTCACACCCTCACTCCCTCACCCCTCACACCCTCACCCCTCATTCCCTCACACCCTCACCCCTCACCCTCACTCCCTCACACTCTCACCCCTCACACTCTCACCCCTCACTCCCTCACCCCTCACTCCCTCACACTATCACCCCTCACACTCTCACTCCCTCACACCCCCACTCCCTCACACCCTCACCCCCTCACCCCTCACTCCCTCACTCCCTCACCCCTCACACTCTCACATCCTCACTCCCTCACACCCTCACCCCTCACCCCTCACACCCTCACCCCTCACCCCTCACTCCCTCACTCCCTCACCCCTCACACCCTCACTCCCTCACACCCTCACTCCCTCACACCCTCACATCCTCACTCCCTCACACCCTCACCCCTCACCCCTCACACCCTCACTCCCTCACACCCTCACCCCTCACACCTCACACCCTCACTCCCTCACACCTCACTCCCTCACACCCTCACCCCTCACACCTCACTCCCTCACACCTCACTCCCTCACCCCTCACACCTCACTCCCTCACACCTCACTCCCTCACCCCTCACACCTCACACCTCACACCCTCACTCCCTCACCCCTCACACCTCACTCCCTCACCCCTCACACCTCACTCCCTCACACCTCACTCCCTCACACCTCACTCCCTCACCCCTCACACCCTCATACCCTCACCCCTCACACCCTCACACCCTCACTCCCTCACCCCTCACACCTCACACCCTCACCCCTCACACCTCACTCCCTCACACCCTCACTCCCTCACCCCTCACACACTCACCCCTCACTCCCTCACTCCCTCACCCCTCACTCCCTCACACTCTCACCCCTCACACTCTCACCCCTCACTCCCTCACCCCTCACTCCCTCACTCCCTCACACTATCACCCCTCACACTCTCACTCCCTCACACCCTCACTCCCTCACACCCTCACCCCCACACCCCTCACCCCTCACTCCCTCACTCCCTCACACTCTCACATCCTCACTCCCTCACACCCTCACCCCTCACCCCTCACCCCTCACACCCTCACCCCTCACCCCTCACTCCCTCACTCCCTCACCCCTCACACCCTCACTCCCTCACACCCTCACATCCTCACTCCCTCACACCCTCACCCCTCACCCCTCACACCCTCACTCCCTCACACCCTCACCCCTCACACCTCACACCCTCACTCCCTCACACCTCACTCCCTCACACCCTCACCCCTCACACCTCACTCCCTCACACTTTACTCCCTCACCCCTCACACCTCACTCCCTCACACCTCACTCCCTCACCCCTCACACCTCACACCCTCACTCCCTCACCCCTCACACCTCACTCCCTCACCCCTCACACCTCACTCCCTCACACCTCACTCCCTCACACCTCACTCCCTCACCCCTCACACCCTCATACCCTCACCCCTCACACCCTCACACCCTCACTCCCTCACCCCTCACACCCTCACCCCTCACCCCTCACATCCCATCCCTCACACTCTCACCCCTCACACTCTCACCCCTCACACCTCACACTCTCACACCCTCCCCCTCACACCCTCACCCCTCACACCCTCACACCCTCACACCCTCACCCCTCACACCCTCACTCCCTCACACCCTCACTCCCTCACACCCTCACCCCTCACACCCTCACTCCCTCACACCCTCACCCCTCACCCCTCACACTCTCACACCCTCACCCCTCACACCCTCACTCCTCACCCCTCACACCCTCACTCCCTCACACCCTCACCCCTCACACCCTCACTCCCTCACACCCTCACCCCTCACCCCTCACTCCCTCACATCCTCACTCCCTCACATCCTCACTCCCTCACACCCTCACCCCTCACCCCTCACACCCTCACCCTCACACCCTCACTCCCTCACACCCTCACCCCTCACCCCTCACACCCTCACCCCTCACACCCTCACTCCCTCACACCCTCACCCCTCACACCTCACACCCTCACTCCCTCACCCTCACACCCTCACTCCCTCACACCCTCACTCCCTCACTCCCTCACCCTCACACCCTCACCCCTCACACCCTCACCCTCACCCCTCACTCTTCACACACTCACCCCTCACCCCTCAAACCCTCACTCCACACACCCTCACGCCACACACACATACACACATCTCACTCAATGACCGTTGAAGCGTACCACACACACACAGATGCACTCACTCAGCTCCATTTATAACGTCTCATTAAAATTAACAAATGTAATTAACAAAGAAAATCTAAATGTGGACTCGCATGTAATAACAATAATCCCCATCCCCTTGTCGCTCTGCTGCCTGCTGTGATTACAAACCTCGTGACGACGGCGCACGGGGGGACGTGCCCCCCCCCCCCCCCCACAGAGCCCCCCGCAGTGCCCCCCTCTCCAGCGCCCCCCTACACCCAGCGCCCCCCGCCCCCACAGCGCTTCCCCCCCCCCAACGCCCTCCCCTCAGATCCCCGCCCCCCACACCGCCCCCGAGAGCCCCCCCCTCCACAGAGCGCCCCCCCCCTCACGAGCCACGCCCCCTACAGAGGCTGCCTCTGTAGGGGGCGTGGCGCCCCCCCCCCCCAGCAGGGCGCGAGGCGGCAGGAGGCCCGTGGCAGGGAGGGGCGAGGCAGGGAGGGGCGTGTCAGGGAAGGGCCGGGCAGGGAGGGGCGTGGCATGGAGGGGCGTGGCAGGGGGCGTGCCAGGGAGGGGCGGGGCAGGGAAGGGCGTGGCAGGGAGGGGCGGGGCCGTGCCGGCGGCGTCTTCACGACGCGCGTCTCCAGTAGCCGGGCTCCATGCAGCTCGCTGTGAGTCGTCGCCCCGAGTCTCTCTGCGTGCGTGCCCCGTGCGTGCGTGGCGAACTTCTTTCGCCCG